TCTCCCAAAATCGCCGTCAAAAAAACCAAAAAAAAAAAAAACAACGAGGGGGAACGTTGTGAGTTGCTGCGGACACCGCAACTCTACAGTTATACCCGATACTAAGTCAGTATGGCTCTCCTCCGGCAGATGGCGCTAATATTTAACGACACGACAAAGAGTGCGTGCGAGAGAGACAGAAAATCAGTCTGAGCGTGACGTCGGGCGCTGCGTAGCCACTGCAAATTGATTTGTTCCTTTTGGCTATAAAAATGATCTGATCCAGATTCAGCAATCTAATAGATATGGTCATTATCTATGATTCTGCGTTTTTAGTTTTCTCAAATCTGCAATATTGTGGATGCAACAGATTTTCGTCCTTTGTGGGGGCGGATGGGGGTGGGGCGAAATTCTGAGATATACGTTTTATAGTGACATCTTAAAAGAGTGTGTGTACCAAATTTGGTTACTCTAGCCTTAATAGTCTCTGAGATTTGTGGTTGCCTCAGATTTTCGTCCTTTGCGGGAGCGGAAGGGGGTGTGGCGAAATTTGGACAGGAAACGGTCAAGGTCCGATATCACAGGAGTGTGGATACCAAATTTGGTTGCTCTGGCTTTTATAGGTTCTGAGATCCTTGAACTCATATTTTGCAATTGGCAAAACCGACCATGAAACCTGTGTGTTAGAGTGAGACAGAGCGAGAAAGAGTGATATTGTTTTCGTGATTCTGGCTGTAATAATTATACGATCTGGTTCAGATTTTACACTCTAGAAGATATAGTCATCTTCTACGATTCTGCGTTTTTAGTTTTCTCGTATCGTCGAAATTGTGGATGCCACAGATTTTCGCCCTTTGTGGGGGCGGAAGTGGGCGGGGCAAAGTTTTGAAATATTTTTGGAGCAGTGACATATCACAGAAGTCTGGATCCAAAACATCGTTGCTCTAGCTCTTATAGTCTTTGAGCATTAGGCGCTGAAGGGGACGGACAGACGACAGACGGACAGACGGACGGACGGACAGACAGACAGGGCTCAATCGACTCGGCTATTGATGCTGATCAAGAATATATATACTTTATAGGGTCGGAAACGATTCCTTCTGGACGTTACACACATCCACTTTTACCACAAATCTAATATACCCCAATACTCATTTTGAGTATCGGGTATAAAAACCAAACGAGATTGGGACTGCGATTGAGAATGTAAAAAAAGAATTTTGTGGACTTCAGTAGGCTTTTGGTATTTTTTATGAAATATTTCGCAGCTCATTAACATAAGCTACTTTAAGTACTTTAATAACACTACTCAACAAAATTTTCCGCTGTGAATCAAACCTTTTTTTGTATAGCTTTGGGGCTGTATATTAAAGAACAACTTAAAATCTATTTTTAATCTTTTGAATGTTTTTTTTAATGTTTTTTGAAGAGGTAGTGCTCTGTTTCCGCATGACTGAAGTATCTTACGCCTGGTTGTATTGAACATTGCAATTCGGACCAAATAACTTGTAGCTGCAGCTTGCCGTCTGGAAAACATAACGCTTTCAAATATTTTTCCACAATTCTGTATTTGAAAACTCGGAAAAAGTCGAAATACATTCATTTTAATTTTAATTTTTAAAGCCTCAAATCTATCAGAAAAGGTCGGTTTGGTATACAGCAGAAATGTTGAGTAGTGTAATTAACACCTGATCTTGTATCCCAGCAGCACCATCCCTAAACCATTTGCAACGGAAAACTTTTGTAAGCCATTGAATACCTTTCGCTCATTCGCTCATTCGCTCAATGTTTTTGGGAGTGTGTCTAGGTAATTACTTAAGCGATTAAAAGGATTTGTGCTGAGAGTTTCTTTGCGTCGGCATTTGAGCATTTAATTAACGCTGAACACAGTTTGATTTAACCAATTAAGCATATCATAATATTACCCATTAGAAAATGAAAACAGAATCAGATCAGACGCCCTCCTACGTCTGCATTTTAAATGCATATTCTGATACATCATTATCAGCTTTGGGCTTATTCTTAGTAGCCTTTACCCACGCAGTACATCTACGGGGAACGGTGGGATTTTTTACAGACGGAAACCGTGGGAATCGGGGCCCCATCCAACATTTACTATACATCAAAAAATCTGCTGATGACAATAACAATACCAAAGTTTTTGGCTGAATTGTGATATTTAACAAGTTGAAATGAATAAAGTGGCGGTTTTATTGGCTATAATATACTATCTACTATATATACAGTTTTTAGCCACTAGGCACTATGAGACGTTATTCTTTATATGGCCTTAAACATTTCAGAAGCTCTCTTTGGAAGTTGGCTGCTCACAATTTGCTGGAGTATCTCTTCCTTTTGTTTCCTGGTGCTCTTGCTGTAATTTCTGCTGATCCTTCTAAGCAGCATTTCCCGATTAATCTCCAGAAGGTTGTCCAGTTTTGTTGCTTTGGTGAGGCGCCTTGGCCGCAGAAAGAATACTAAATACTTAAAGATTCATTTTATCTGTCCAGATCGACGTCAAAAGGATTCTTTCGGGCTCCCCGCAAACTCATATGTTTTCATACTAAATGTATATAACAAGATTTTTGAATGGCTTCAAAAAAACAAAAAAAAAAAAAAATTTTTACCACCACCAGTTTCTACGCGTTCTTTTTTTTGTATTGCGTCTGTTTTTTTTTCTTTTGTTGGTTATGTATGACAAAAAGTGCGTGCGGGAGAGAGAGAAAACGTGTCTGAAAGTGTCGTCGGGCGCTGCGTAGCCACTGCAAATTGATTTGTTCCTTTTGGCTACAAAAATGATCCGATCTGATCCGGATTCGGTAGATGTGGTCATTCTTTATGATTGTGCTTTTTGAGTTTTCTCGTATCTTCAATATTGTGGATGCCACAGATTTTCGTCCTTTGTAGGGGCGGAAGGGGGTGGGGCGAAATTTTGAAGTACACTTCTAACAGTGAGATCAAACAGGAGTATGGGTCCAAAATTTGGTTGCTCTAGCTCTAATAGTCTCTGAGATCTGTGAATGCCAAAGATTTTCGTCCTTTGTGGGAGCGGAAGTGGGCGGGGAAAAGTTTTGAAATATACTTGTAATAGTGACATATCACAGAAGTCCGGATATAAAATGTCGTTGCTCTAGCTCTTATGGTCTTTGAGCACTAGGCGCTAATAGGGACGGACAGACGGACGGACGGAGAGACGGATAGACAGACATGGCTCAATCGACTCGGCGTTTGATGCTGATAATGAATATGTGTCCTTCTGGCCGTTACACACATCCACTTTTACCACAAATCTAATATACCCCAATACTTATTTTGAGTATCGGGTATAAAAATGCGAAAGCCATTTAGCTCAACAATTTTTGCTTAATTTCGTAAAAATTCGACCTTTTTTGCGCCAGGTGCAAAGAGGCACCAAAATTTGTTGATGCGCCTTCATTGATGTATTCTCTTTTAAGATCGTCTAACCTAACCAGATCGGTGTCAAAAATAAAAATAAAAAAAATATTGATATTGATATATTGATGATATTCATTTCATTATATTATTATCCGAATAGACAGAAAAAAAATTTTCGGATTTCAAAAATTATGTTATTATTATATGATATAGCACATGCTAAAGCTATATTGGCCGTTTGACCCACTGTGCTTCGCACTTATTCAACTTAATTCGAATATATTCTGTACTACGTACCCGTAATGCAATTGATTGCCGTTTTTTCGCGTGTGTATTTGTCGCGTTTGTGTATAGCAAACATTTCGTGATTCGCGCTATAAAAAAAGGCTTCGATTCGAAATTTTTGTCAGTGTGGTTAGTCAGCTCTTCCGCCCGCATCTTTCTTCACCAAGATCTTTGAGTGACTTTTGTATATGTAGCTTTTAAGTGCCAAGTCCCCTTCCCCCACACATAAACACAGATACTGTTTAAAATTTTTGTCGTTCTAACTGCAATGGAGATGGCATATCATTCATTTATCTTAAATGAACAAAATGCAAAAAAAAGTTGTTTGGTGTATATGTACATAACATATAACATAGTGCTTTTAGCTGAAGATTATGTTAGGAGCTATTAGGCTAGTCAAATAAACTAATAATTTCGACACAGGTGCAGTTGTTAACACTGCACTTCTTAACACTGCCGGCAATAGTAACACCCAGAAAAAAGCGTTTCCGAACATCTTAAGTATATATTCTTGAACAGCATCAATAGCCTATTCTATTGAGCCCTGTCTGTCTATCCGTCTTGCCGTTTGTTTGACGCCTAGTCCTCAGAGTCTATAAGAGCCAGAGCAAAAAAATGTTGTATCTAGATTCTTGCGATTTAGAAAATTTCGCCCCGCCTTTCTGACCCAACAAAGGACGAATTTCTGTGGCATCCACAATTTTTGAGATACAAAACGACCAAAAACCCTCTCATTCTTACAGTGCTCTCTCTTTAGTGCATTGTACGCCCTCTGGCGGAGGGAAGACATACTGACTGAGTATCATGTATAAATTCAGAACCGCGGCTCACGATGTTCCCGCTAGTTGTTAGAGTACTTTCTTCTTAGAAGTTCTTTAGCAGCGTAATGGTAATATTGTCGAGAGCTCGGAAATAGGTTGATTGAGAATTAAGAAGTTAAAAAAGCTCAGATGAGACCAAACAGTTCATGTACCTAATAGTCTTATTTATAGTATGGTCAGATAATTAAATAAACGGTAAGGCTTTCAAGGGTTTGCAACAATAGGCTGGATACATTCAAGATCGGTAAAATAAGGAAATACTGTGAATGATTTGGACAGATTGGATTAGTTACGTGGAATATGTTTTAAAATAACGTATACAATGCCAGACACTCAATTTTGTTACTGGTACTCGAAAAACCTCAAATAATATGTATCTTACTCAAGCTTCGAAAAGTACTCCAGATAATTTGAGAATGCGACTCCAACTCGTGAAATATCGGTTTAGGAGCTCTTACCTTGCACTTTGTACGTACCCTTGAAATCGCCAATTCCATCCCCATCCCAACCGGCACTTACCGTTCGCGTAGGCGTCATAGTCAATATTTTTGTGTGGTCTCGACTGGCGGGACTGGTCGCTGGTATCCGCTGCATCTTCGATGTCCTGGTCGAGCTGAATCAGACCGTGCTCCGACTCTGCTTTCGTCGAGGAAATAACATCATTTCCGGCTGCCCCGGCGGGCAGTGCCAGATCCAGAGCCACACTCAGGGCCAGTACTAGAACCAGCGGCAGGTGGTGGGGTCGGCGTTCCTTAGCCGCCATAGCCGCCATAGCCATGCTCGACTGCAGGCTCACTGTAAATCGCACGCACGTAACTTAGAGCACGGAACGCAACCCGGAAGCACAAAAAATTGGCACCCGACGAAAAGGACTCGCCTTTTGTTTCACTTATGGATTACTGTACTCTGGTCTGCCTCAGTCTGGGGCGACTCCGAAGAAAATAAGCGGTGGTCGCCACACCTGAACAGCAAAAAAAAAATACCACACACACTGACTCAAGCCCCGCAGCCAAAATTGTTGAAGGATAGAGGCTAATAAACCTTACTTGAGTTTTCGACGGTTCGATTCCTGTATTCTGGCTGCTTGGGACACGCGTTTCCCACGCCGGCAACAAGGATTCTAAACTGAGCGCTAGGCAGGCAGCGTGCGACCTGGCCAACTTGCGAAGCCCAATTGAGGCAGTGAAGTCCTCAGCCAGCACTCATATAGCCCCCGAAGCCGAACTTCTGTTTTGGTGAATGGACGGCTGCTTCGGCTGACGCCTGCGCCTGAGACAGTCAACGATGGAGCATGAAGTAGCTGGAGCTCCTGCAGGGCAGGAGGGCTGGAGGGCTGAAGGGCTGCAGGGTACGTGGCAGCGGAAGGTAGTGTGTGACAGAAGTCAGTTGCAGTTCATTTGCTCGGCTACGTGCTGAGAGTTTCGGCTGGGGAAGGCGGGAAGTGGGATAATGGATAATGGCTGATGGGCAATGGGAAATCGGATTTGCAAGCGCCGTCAGAGCTTCTGGCTGCAGTTTTGATGGACTGTTTTACGGGTAGTGTTCTCAAAAAGTCTGCAAAGGACTGTATTTTTGTTGATCATCTACGGTTGGATAGCAGGATACGTCTTTAATAATATACAGGGTGCGCCATCTTTCTAACATTAAATTATATATGAATCCAAGAGAGAGCTGGGGAAAAATATCGGCTATAAAAACCAAACAGTTTTTAAAATTTTACTATTCCAGATAATAGTATTGCAATAATGCACAAATTTTATGGGATATTTCATGGGATAGGGTATGACACAGGGTATTTTAATTAGCTATGGGATTAAACCTTTAGGGTTCCTACGGAAAGGTAGACGGATAAAATATCGAAGAATTTTTTCCATCGTAATGGCATTTCGGCATTTAGTGGCCTCTTCCTTTCCATACTCTCCACTCAACTCCACTCCACCTGTATTTCGCTCTCTCTCTCTTAGTTAAAACATTTTGCAGTAGATTTTATCTGCCGTGCGGTAGTTTTCTTAGCGTGTTCTCAAAGCAATTTTTGTTATTTTTGATATGTTCATTTTCAAGCAACGAAAAAAGTGCTTTTCGAGAGTGAATTTCCAGACCGACATAGCACTCGAAGTGACGCCTGGTAGAGCGGGACAGCACAGTATTAAATACTCACATAAATGCTTATTTATAAGGAACAACACAGTATACCCTAATAGAAATAAATGAAATGATGCTGCATATACGCAGCTATCACGAGAATATGTTTTATAAAACTATCATTGATTCGATCAATAACTCTAGGCAACAAAATTAAACTTTTTAACCACGCTACGAACCGAACCGATATTTTCTGATAGATTTTGACTTTCAAAACATTTAATGAATTAATCGGTTGTTTTTCATGGTGTAGTTTTTATTAATTTAAAAAAGCTTATTTATTTAAGTGTTTTTCAGGGGCAGTGCTTCTTTTTTTCACATAACTTAAGCATCTTACATCTGCCTGTATTCTGGCAATTTAAAAATTTAAGTACCGCTTTATTCAACTATAATAATACAATTGGACCCAAACACTTTGTAGCTTCAGCTTACCCTTTGGAAAATATTAAGTTTTCAAGCTAAAATTGATCCTTTTTGCCGGTATTTTGTTATTTAAATCTTGACTTTATAAACTCAGGAAAAGATAAAAAATATATTTTTTTTGTCATTTCTGCTTTTGTTTCGTTTGTTAAATTCAATGGATAAACGGCTAAGGTACAGCAGTTTGACCAAACCTTCTTATGCCGCATTTGATCGTTTACGGATGAAAACTTACAATACTCTTGGACTTTTGCCATACTTACATATATGGCGCGAAGTAGAAACTGTCCCTATATATGTAGGTATTTCAGATGAAGTTTAGAAAAGCCACATATTCATGAAAAGGAAGTTAAGGCAGTGAGAAGTGAAGAGGAGTTATGTACATTTGGATCGTCTTCACAGCTGTGTGAGCGCTATTATGCTGTGGTGTGCAATATCCTATTACGGATTGGACGAGCTGCAATTTTTATCAAATCAAGTTTATCAAGTATGCTAAAAAGCTGGTCTTTTTGATCATTTAGTTGTTTGATTAATTACAGTCCCATAAGGTGTGTAGTCTTCGGAAAAACATGTTTTATTAATTTAGCACTAGCTTAGAAGACAATTTTAGATTTTATATTTTCTATTATTTGAGTCATAAGTTTTTGATGCGGCTCGCAGAATAGATCGCTTAGCGGACTCGAAAAACAACTGTTTTGGTTTAATTTTATTCGTTTTTAACGAAATCACTCAAGGCACACCTAGTTTAACCTACTTCATTCAACGATTTTATTCTTTCTTATAATTAAGACACTTCAATGCATTTTTAAGAATTTGTTCTACGTCCGCTCGCTGCCACAACCAATAAAAAAAATTTTACAATTTAAGTGTAGTATTCATGTGTTGCAGTTTTAAAGAACGAAACTTTGAGTTATGTCAGTCTTCATTAGTGAATTTTGCTATTTGCTTTTCTAAAATACATGCTAAGTTGAATACAAATTTGATCAAAATTCAAATTCACCGTTTTCTTTGGATTGCGCTGTAAATATTAAGTGTTTATGTAATTTTTTTAGTGTGTCGTATTGATGTGTGGGAGAGTGTCGTGTTTCAATTATGATTGCTATTATGACAGCAGTAGGAATGGATGTGGTATCTGCAAAACAGAATCCGCATATACATGATTTTTTTAATCACACTTCCCTCTGGCTGAGGTATGCTGAGAAATGCTCTTATGGCAGTAATTGTTATTGTGGCATATTTACTGAGCTAATTGTCGAGCTATTTTTTTTTGTTTGTGGTCCGGTCCAGTTCCGGCAATTGCTGTTCGCTCGCCCTCGTTTGACCCTGGTATTCTCCAGTGCATCCACAAGGCTCTAATTGAATTCACTGCCGGCGACCTCGGCACTGCAGCACGAGATTGAACAAATCCCGCAAAGCGCTCAAATAGGCTATCCCCGAAAGCGAAAAGCGTGACTGATGCCCCACAACAAGAGTCGACGCATTAAATAGACTTGCATATCGATCAATCGTATAACGAGATGTCTTCTTCATATCATCTCTTTTGACATGCATTTATTCATAATGCATAATTTGACTCGCTATATAAATAAATATATATAAATAAATATATAGACAAAACAAGAGAGGATTTGCCACGTTGTTTATGATCTAAGGCAGAAGCGAAAATATGGACGTGACTGTCGACTCAAGAGGACGAACACGAACGCTCTATAAGGTGAGAGATTCACTTTGTGGTTTGCAAACGGCTGGCCAAAATTATGATATTCTTCGAAAGAGTATATGTACACATATCCAATCGGATAGGAGCCCTGCCCTAACCGCAACAATAATCAGCTTTGTGTGCAGGATGTGCGAGCCATTTGGCTCACTCTAGAGTGATGATGGGGCAATTTGCTTAGGCCAGTAATGCTTAATCTGGATGGGACTGAGACTGCGGGCTAGGGGATTAGGTAACCAATACGATTTGCAGGCATAAAATCCGGGTCAGCGTAGACGCAGTATCCTCTTCGTCAGCACAGAGTTGAAACTGGCACTCAAGCTTTGGGTTATTTACGCTAAGAAGAATACATTTTATTGGGCTTCAGCTGAAGCCATTCTGAGAATAGTAGGCGACCAGAATAATCTCGCAGGAAGAGCAGAATTAACTCGTTGTCCGGCAGCACGCGCAGAAGTACCACCAAAGAATTTTCGGTATAGTTAACACTCTTACATCGGGAAGGTTTCGGTGGGGCTTACGCACGAGGTACCCACTTCTCCGCTGCTGAATGGACACACTCGCACGAGAAAAGCCAGAGAGCAGAAAGCCAAAGCATTCCTTGCTGCCCACAGGCAGGTCAGACGATGGTCAATACCTCGGCACCAAACACCAACAGCAACCAGTACAGTTGGAAAAAGTCGTACTGAAAAGTGATGCGCTGAATGATGGAGAGAGAGTCACATTGATACTCTGATAGCCTTTCTATCCTGAGGCACTGGCACTCTGCATACGACTATAGACTGTTGGAGGGTTCAACCTGGTTCAACCAGGCTTAGGTTCAGGTCCTCCAGATAACGGCTACGCAAGTGGTATGGCTTAGGGAAGAATTTTCCTCGGCGGTCCTTGTTTAGCATTGCATACCAGGCTCGAAGGATCGTTAGGACATTTTATCATGAACGTTATTTTATGTGCGCCAATGGGGCTCTGTATGGCGCAGATCGTGGCCCGTGGGAAGGGTGCTGTGGAGTGCTGTGTGTGCAGGATCCTCTTCCTGCAGCCTTTACTGGCTTGAATGCCAAATTAGAGGCAGAGGCGTTTTGAGATAGACCCAGTCGAAACGTTGGCTCGCGTTGGGTACTAATACCCGATACTTAGTAAGAATACTTATTTGCAGGTACAAATATTAAATTTCATCGAAAAAATCACCAGTGCTTTTGGCAGGCCACAATTTTTTTCGATTTGAGCGCTAGGCTAGTAAGAACTATCTAAAAAAAAACGAGGGTGAACGTTGTGAGTTTCATGCTGCGACCACAACTCTACACCCGACACAACATATACCCGATCAGTATGGCTCACCTCCGGCAGACATTGAACGACAAATAGTCTGTGCGAGAGAGTCAGAAAATCAGTGAGAACGTGTAGGGCGCTGCGTTACCACTGCAAATTGATTTGTTGCTTTTGACTGTAACAATAATCCGATCTGATCCAGATTCGGCAATCTGGTAGATATGGTCATTCTCTATGATTCTCCTGTGATATGTCACTGTCACAAGTGTATTTCAAAATTTCGTTACATGATCCAAATTCGTGACTGGAAATTTCTTGGTATGCCACCAATCCAGTGCGTCTCCTTACAGTATTACTGGCATAGGAAACACCATGTGGTTCACCTCTATTCGTAGGATATTCCTCCATTCTGTTCCCTCCAGCAGTGCGCTCCAAGGAGAAGAAATTTTGCGGAGGTTTAGGTACGCTCCGATGAGAATAATCGTTCAACTTTCGGAGCGCAAGCGACCCAGAAGGAAGACTCTCTACATTTAAGATCAATAAACAGAAACTATTCTTGTACCACTTAATCCACACTTTACTTTA